TTTTTTATTTTATTATTTTTTGTTTTATTTAGTTAGAATTAAATTCTAAACCTTACTGAATTCTAGGGTTTAAAGTAACAAAACAAAAAATATATGGGAGTCATTGGTCATTATTTTCAACAGCTTTTCTGACATACTGTACCTAATGATCTCTTCTTCCAGGCTGACAAACATCTACTTGTCTGGTCAGAATTTGGACAGAGGATGAGATTCAACAGACAACAAACTCAGAAATAATTAGAAATTAAAATAATGAATGCTGCGGATCCACATTTACTGTATTAATTTTAAAATAAGGGTTGGAATTTGGTAAAGTTATAGTTACTGAATTAAAAAAAAACATGGTGTGTATGACCTGAGTGTACAAAGTGACTTAAGTGACTCAGAACAGTTTGTGTTCATTTGAGATTTTAAATAAAATGATTAAACAATGTCCAAACATAAAATAGTGTAAAAGAAARTATAAAAAATATATTTTCATGAACTATAAAGATGTATGTAAAATATGGCAATAGCCTGTATTGAGAAACAGCATGTGAGTATTATAAATAAGTACATTATTTCCATAAGTGGTTGTATTAATAAGGAATGACATTAGTAAACTGATAATGGTTGTAAAATAAGTATGTTCTTCTTTACACTCATTGTGAACACGTGAGCTATACAAAAAAGTTTAGTGATACATTTTTTAAATGTAATTTTTTGTAGATTTTTCTTTTTCTTTTGTTTCTCCATTGCTTAAAATGATTGTCTGTGTACAGTTAACATGTTTGAAATAAACTAAACAAAAAGAACTAATAAATTTGTATTTGCTGCATTTTCWGACCTGCTACAAACCAGATGATTTAACGTGTAAAACCTTTGAACTGAAACAAGAATACACTTTAACTTTAAAATGTGACTGCACGTGTTGGACTGCAGAATAAACACTCTATTGGTCAATTTGACCAGACACCAGAATGTACCAAAGGTATATTAGCTTCTCACTTCAGCTGTACTTTGAAGGGTGTATGAACATGAATTAAGAGTTTTTGAAGGATCGTACACCAGTACAAACATAAAGTACAAAACGTACAATTGTTAAACCACGCACATACCCTTAGAATTCAATGTAGCTTACCTAAAGTGACCCTCAGCTATTTCAGATTATAGTACCTAATTTTAATTGGACCAATTAATTAATTAATTAATTAATTTCATTGGTTCTCGTACTTTTCTGTTGAGCGCCTCTTGAAGAAATAAAATTGTCTGTGTCCAAAATCACCCCAAGCCCCWAAACAAAACAGTAACAACTTTTYAAGTACTCAAGTATAGACATGTTTATTAAAAGGAAATGCAAAATTATAACCATTCTTTTCTATTTTCTCTGAATATTTTGTTATTCTATTTAAAAACAAAAACTAATGTGTGGTTGGGTGGGGGTGGGGTGGGGGTAGGGGGGACTATAGTGGCCGGCATCCTCAGGTACAAAATGTTCCCTCCATGGTACAGGTGGAACTWTTAACAAATACCTTAACAAGTACCTTTTTAAGCCTTGACTGTTTATTTTACTGTAATATCAGTGAGTCACACCACTTGTGGGAGCTCTATTTAGTTAAAATCTGATTTAGAAATGACTAAAAACAACTAATTTCACTTGGAGAAGTCAGCTCGTTAAAATGTGGCTTTTAGTTGTAATGCTGACAATTTTTTGTAAAATAATAATACACCAGCTCTGAGCCACGACGTCCTCCAGTCTGTGAAAAATCTAAATTACCCAACAGGCCTTTCATCCCTGTCTCCTTCCCCCATCATTAAGCTCCCACACCGTGCCACCTACTTTCCACGATGCACCCGCCACCGCGGTCCACGCCCATGCTACTTCACGCTGCATTGGTAAATTTAAAAGAACATTTAGTTACTTCCGCAAAAAAGATCCAGTTGATCTTTTAGTTAGCCAGTTATATTAGTCTCAATGTTTTGAACATTCGTGAGTTTTATGCTTTAGCTATATAACATAAAGCTACAGGCTCTTTTTAAAAGTAGTGATAATATCTAAAACACTCAATTAGATAATACAATTTTACTAAACTGACTGTTTTTCTTAGTAGGAAAATAAAACGATGTAATGTAATATTTGTATTATTAGAGTAATCATTGGGAAAAACACATTTATTTACGTTTTAAGAATAAATCCTATTTCCCCAGCGGTCCTTGAACGCACCGTCTGCCCGGACCAGGGGGCGTGGGTTGACCGGCTTTCTTTCTCCGAAGCTCAGAMACAATGAACCGTCAGACTGGAAGGGGTACGCACGTTCATCCCGTGGTGTCAGCATTATTCTAGCACGTTATTCTTCTCATCTTTTCTTTTTGTTTAAAAAAACTTATTCTTCAACTCCTGACACGCTGTATGGCGGCAGCGCGACTTGACTGGAAGCTGTTTGTTCGTCTGGTTTGAAGAAAACTAGGTCGGGATCAGTCTAACGTCACCGTTAGCTCCACCTTTTATGATTTTTTTTTATTATTATTGTTATTGAAGACAACTTAAACTAGTAGATAACAATGTCGCTGTCTGCGTCGTCTGATTATTTTGCTGCCGAGTGCCTGGTGTCGATATCTACCGGTCCTGTCCTGCACAGACCCACCCCTGTCGCCGCCACCAGTCAGCCCTCCCCGGCGGGCCTTCACCCCGGGGAGCCCGACGGCTCGAGCGAGGACCGGGAAGTTCGCGAGACGCTGAGGCTGGAAGGGACGAACATGATGACGGTGGCCGGCATCCTCACCGACCTGCACAGCAAGTTCCGGCCCATGTCGGCCTACTCGGAGAGCAGCAACTCCTCGTGCGGCGGGGAGAGCGGGTACACCACGTTGTCCGACCCCACCACCCCGACCATGACCCCCTCCGCTACGCCMGTGCCCGGACAGCAGCAGTACCAGCTCCGGGGGTCAGTCGGGTCCCCGGTGAAGCGACACCAGTGCACCTTCGACGGATGCGACAGAGTTTACGGGAAATCGTCGCACCTCAAGGCGCACATCCGGACACACACAGGTAAACAACGGCCTGACTGATTCATGATGTTTATTAATTTTAACTAGCTTAGTTCAGCTTAACAGCGAGCTTATCTTTATTTGAGATGAAAGTTAAGATGTGCTTCTCGTGCTCGACTTATTTTTACGATAAACCGCACAAAGAGAGGGGGAGAAGTGTCCTCGCTGACTCTGACAAAGAAGTAAAGCAACAAAAGAACAGGGTTGGACGTTAAAACATGTGACGAAAGTCTTCCTCCCCGCTGGATTTGCATATGAAACGAGTAAGACGAAACCCTCACGGCGGGGTCGTTGGGTTTAATGTGGGACACATCAGCCGGTGGAGGATGGGGTCTACTTTTTCTCTGGTCACCACCTCGTGCTCTGTACCCCACTCACAGTAAAACTTATTAGTGTTAATTATAGAAATATTACACTGCGTTCCTGCATATGTACATATTTTTATGTAACTTCTGCCGTAATGCACCAGACCAGCCTGAGTCGTATCGCTGCGCTGCTGATTCCTTTTTTCTCCTCGCTAATTAACGGGTTAATAACGCGTTTCAGTGTCACTGCGCATGCGCAAATGGATCAGAGCGAGACAGGAAGCTGCCGATAGAAACTCTGGTGGGAACGCCCACGGGGGAGTTCTCGAACAACAACGTGGCCAGGGCTTTGTGATCTTCTTGGAGGGGGGGAATGGCGAGCATTGTCACTTATCCCGGTGTTGTGACGAATTATGTTCCCTGTCAAGATGTGTTCTCACTTGTCAAGTTCAGTGGCTTTTCAGCCATCAGGAGGTGTTCCACATTTGTACATGTTCTTGTCAGTCTTGTGAGCTTCTTTTCTTACAAAGCTGTCTATTCTACCCTGCTATATTGAATAAGAAAATAAATAAAGTTTTAAGCTTTTTTTTTTTCAACAGAGGAAACACAAGTCTTCACAACACGGCGCTTGATTCACTCCTACAAGAGCCTGCAAGAGACAAAGGCTGTCGGCATAAAATAAATCATCCTTTCATTCTCTAAATCTTTTTTTTTTTTCACCATTTGTGGAATTATACACACTGCAACATAGGTTTTTCTAACATACAATTTGATTTAGCGTAATTTTTTAATCAACATTTTGTAAGTTTCAACCTTCCAGGTGACAAATGCTTCAGGTTTTCTTCATTTGAAGTTAAGCTGAAGTGAATATTTTTAGATTTTAAAGAGCTCATTTGAGACTACATCTTATTATCC